TGTCACCACAGAGCATCCCAAGAAGTATCACTTACCACCACGGGCTCTTAAGAAGACAGACATTTTCCAACAAGAGCATAGCACAGCATCACTCCCCTGCTCCCACAGGAATAAACACCAGGGTTCCTGGAGGAGCCATCAGACATGTCCCCACAAACACATTAGTAAGTCACCACCTCACCACCCTCTGCTTTCTTCTGTTGGCAACTACAGCTTTACTCAGACTTTTTGCTAACAGTCTTCTCTTGCTTATTGTTCAATGGGAGCCTGAAGCAAAGAGTGTCAATTGCAAAGGAGGAGGGAGGAAGTCAAAGGGAAGCTTGGTGGTACACAATTCCCCTCTCAGTCTGGCAGTTTTGGGATCTCTCTTGTCTTCTTTTCACCTACGAAAACCTGGCTGCTGGCCACAGCATAATATAGCAACGGGGGAAAAAGAGGAAGAAGGCTTAACTTCTATTTATTTTAGTGCGATCATTAGGATTATGTCAGGGGGAAAAAGCATTAATACATAATCTTTTCCCTGTGCTATACAACACTGGCTGCTTTTAATTTAGAATTAAATTGAAACACTCACTCAGAACAGCTTTGAACAGCAGCCAAGGCCTTCTCTCGCATTGTGTGAGCAGCTGGGTAGCCTTTCCACTCTCTTTTTTTTGGTCCATGGTGCCCTTTTTTGAGACCTTTGCTGAGGGTTGGTCACTGAAGATATTTGTCACCCTTTCTCAAGTACCAATGGTTCCCCTGGCTTGGAGCTGGCACACCAGCCACAGGCAGAGAGGGAGGCCCAAAGCATGTGAGTGAAGCCCCCAGGAGACCAAACTTCAGCAAATGAAGCCGCACAGCTACAAGTATTTCACAAATTAAAGCAAGAAGGGACATATCAAAAAGCACACCAAAAAGCACATTTTTAAATAATGCTAAATAGCAGTGATTTTTTTTTTTTTTTTCTCGACGGTACACATTGTTTTTTATGCTTTGTCACACACGATGGGGCAAGTTCACACAAGGAGGTTTGGAGGTATAAACAGGACAGACAAGGCTGGGTGGGGTAAAGCCAAATTTAGTTAAGTGAACTGGTCATCCCGTTTTGTTCATACAATAAGCCTGCTCCAGAGGGTTCTCACCAAGCTGATGAGAAATGTGCCCTGGTTCATTCCCTGTTCATTTTAATCTATATAAATACTAGGGTTTTTTTCAGGCTAAAGAATCCAGTGCAGACTCAAGCGCTTTCCTTAATTATTGGTATTCACAGAAAGAAAGAGTAAGTTTAAAGGAGGGGGAGGAAAGAGATTGCCACCCTTTCAGTGCTGCTGTGAAGGGAGCTCTGCTTATCACAACAGGTGCAAAGGCCACTCACAAAAACAGAAGCAGTTCAGCACTGAAAGGCTAAGAAATTACTTATTCTCTTTGTCAGCTGCTCATACAAGCAGGGTAAAGGCTACTTGTAAGGAAAGAAAGACGGTAAAAAGAAGGGTTAATGTTTGTGAAAGAAAGAAAGAAAGAGAGAAAGGAAGAAAGAAAAAAATATGAAGTACACAAGCCCGCAGGTTTGCAGGAGACTCTGAAAGATATATTGACCTTAAAAAATATAGATTTAAAAAAAAAAAAAAAGCAGAAACAAAACTACAAGCCCTGATAGAGCAGGAATGAGCAGCACCAGCAGGCTGGGGACTGGGGGAAATTTTAACAGTCTACCACTCCAGCTGAATGGTTAGTGGAACAATGCCGGCTGAAAGCACAGCATTCCTGCCCTTGCGCCCCCGCAGAAAGGGGCTGTGCAGGTCTTTCTGATGGCTCTCTCTAATTACACGTTCTTGTGTATGGCAATTCATGGCCAGATCTGAGAACGTCCTCATTCCTTGTCAGAAGGGTGATTTGTATACCACACCTAGAGAGTCAACATATTAAGGAAAAAAGTTTGTTAAAAAAAAAGAAAGAAAGCTCCTCTGATGAGAAGCCCATAGTTTTCAGGGTTACTGTTATCCCTTGGGTTCTTAACTGGGTTTTATTTCTTCCACGCTTTCAAAATAAAGCATCAGATGCAAAGGAAACTATAATTTCATTTTGTAACGCCCCTCCATTAATCCCTAGATCTCTCTCAAGTGCTGCATAAATTTCATCCTCCCTTCCTGGAGCTCACAGAGGTTGTTTAACACCTGGTGCATCTTATTTTCCAAGACGGATGGTTGTGTTTATTTTAACCTGGCCTGGGATGATGTGCAAACCAGCCATGACTGTTAGATGCTGAGTGTTCCCAGAACCAGATGGTCAAACCTTCCTCTTTTAAGACAACTGACTCAAAACCATAAAAGAAAACACCAAAAATGAAAACAATCATCAACGACAACATCAAAAAACACCCTGTGGTGGGGAGTAAAATATTTCAATGTTGGCACTGTGAGACAGAAAGAAACTCAGAGGGAAGGGAGTGTTTGATTTCCAAATCCTGAAAGTTAAGCGTGCAAAAAAAGAGAACTCGCTCATCAGGAATTTTCCACCAGTGGCAGGTAACAGGAGGAATTCCCCAGCTTAAATATGACAGATGTTCATACCTCTGCTACCCAGAAGCAATAAAAACCCCCTGTGGCTATTCTGACTGCCCTGCTAAATGAATGGCGAGAGAAGAGTTCTAATAAAGCACAGCGATGTGAGCTGCCACTGCCTGCACCTGCAGGTTCTCTGGTACCCAATTCTGGCTTCACAATTTACAGTGGAATGCAGAGCACTTCATTTTAGCATCATGAGTAGTCTCTTGCCATCCTCGTGGTTCTCCTCTCCTTCCCAAGCCTCTTCCATTCACAACCAGTCCTAATTTAATTGGGCTCTAAGCCACTGAGGCGGCATTGCTAGCACACACTGCACCTTTTGCACAATCAAACTTGCCTATGGCAGGTTTGAGGCAGTGCAGGGTTTCTGTTCATAAAGCTCCTCCAGCCTAACTCAGCTGAGAAATTCTACACTGGAAGTTAAATCAGTCCAACACCAGGTTTCAAGCAATCCTGTTCATGTACAGCCGACAGGTTTGTTCTGGTTTAACAGAACCAATTCCTCCCCTCCTTGACTGGAAAAAAAGAAAAAACAAAATCAAAGTACATTTTCACACTGCCATAACTAAAATGAAAAAGAATTTTTTAAAAAAATCCACATCTGGTTACGGGAAGAAACAAACACGGTGACAAGATGCCACAAAACAGCTTGTGAAACTCACGCACAAAGGTGTAAACGTAAAACACAAAGAATCATAGAACATTAAGGAATTAGAAGGGACTTGAAAGATCATCTAGTCATGGGCAGGGACACCTCCCACTAGACCAGGATGCTTAAGGCCTTATCTAACCTGGTGCTGAGCACTGCCAGGGGTGGGGCATTCACAACTTCCCTGGGCAACCTGTGCCAGTGCCTCACCATCCTCACAGTAAGGAATTTCTAATCTCTAACCTAAATTTCCCCTCTGTCAATTGGGACCCATTAGTCCTTATCCTATCACTGCAGTTTCTGACAAAGAGTCCGTCTTTGGCTTCCCTGTAGACCCACTTCAAATACTGGAAGGTTGTCATGGAGCCTCCACAAAACCTTCTCTTGTCCAGGCTGCACAGCCCCAGCATTCTCAGCCTCTCTCTGCAGGGCCATGGCTGGCATGCAGGCTCTCATCCTGGTAGACAAGAGGTAGCTTTTCCTTCTTCCACTGTGTCTCATCTCCCCAGAGCAAAACAGACATACAAACTGCCTAAAGACCCTGAAAAACCAATCATTTCTTGTTAACCATCATAACAAACAGAGAGCTATGCAACAATAAGAAATGCCTGTATGCTTTTCACCAACTACTTTTCCTTAACTTTACTACTAATATTCTGTAAGTACATGATCCTTACATGAAAAGACTTTGTGAACATTTCATGAAAGAGAGAAAGCCCATTTCAAGCATTACAAAGAGAGGAGGGGCTTCAGCCTTTTTCAGAGTTTCTCATGCAATTTTCTACAGTTCTTCAAAATGTAAAGTCACAGTTAAAGGATATGTGCTCTGTAAAATGATAGAATCATTTAGGCTGGAAAAGACTTCAAAGATCAAATCCAACCATTAACCCAGAACTGCTAAGTCTACTGTTAAACCATGTCCTTAAGAATCCCATCAACATGTCTTTTAAATTTCTCCAGGGATGGTGGCTCCACAACATCTCTGAGCAGCCTGTTCTTCCACTCCTGTGTCTATTGCAAATTTAATCTAAATTTAGGACTAGATTTAACAGAAAAGATCACTTACAAGGCTGTTTGTACTTGAGCTAAAATCAGGTTTTGAATAAGTTAAACTGCAAAGACTAAATGCACAGCCAAGGCCTCAATGCCTTATGGCACTAGGTTGTAGGAGCCTTTCCAGTCACATCAAAGAGTCTTGTGTAAGGCTGTTAAGACTCACTGCTGCTCACAGTTATGGGGCACCACCGGTAGAAAACCTGAGTTCTGCACTTCCTTCTGCAAGTAAGCATTCATAGATGGTCACAGCAGAAATCATTTCATACCATCATGACATATCTCAAGATGCATTGTCATTTAAAAACAAGTTATGCTGCTGAAGATGTAATGTCTGCTCTGGACTCGGGATGTTCTGCGGTTGGCAAATTCCCCTGGCCAACAGGACTATAAGATTCTTACCACCTCTAGACACTGGCACAATGTAGATGCTTAATGCCATGTGCCTGGTGCACACAGCACTCATTCATCAATGTCCCATATGCTGAAAAACATTTTCTGTGCTAATTCACAATGACGGCTGTTAATCCGCCATCCCTTACAAACCCCAGCAAAATCCACTTAGCTTGGAGTCAGGCATATTTCAGAAAGTATTTGTCCTCTCTGCATTGGGATTGAGAGAGACATACAAGGGAAGGGGTGACAAAAAGACTGGAAGTCTAGTAGGGCTTGTGTAAAACCTCAGAAATCCTGTAAGGACGTGAAAGAAGCCACAAGCTTCTAAGGAGAGCAACTGGTAATTAAAACCTTGATACAGCAAGTCGTTTGAGTTTATTTAAATAGGTACTTAAAGATAAACGCAAAGCATTTTGCTCAAACATTTTGAGGAATATGATCCTTAAGGAAGATTAACAAGTCTTTAATAACACTTGTGTTATGAAATGTCATTATAATCAAGCAGTAAATCAATAGTACAGTAGCACATGCTGCAGATCACAAGGGCTGTGCTTTGTGGAACAAAGAGAGGGCAACCTCTTTATCTCCTATGACAGTGATACATGTTATATATACTTACACCTTTCAAACAGTGACATTTTTGGTTCCTCTAGTCACCCATGAGGCCATCTGTCTACAGGGGAAGGGGTAGCAATTTTTTGCTTTGAATTGCACAACCTTCCAAGCAGGTTAAATGCAGGACTCATCTCTGCTAAAGGCTGCCTACACCAGTGCACTCTCTTGCTTCACATTCCAGCTCCCCTGGCAGCAGCTAAGAGCGGTCAGACCTGGCTCAAGGCTGCTTGGAGTGAGTGCTCAGGGGCAGATGAGTCACAGATGCTCCCCTAGCTCAGGGCTGCAAGGGGCCAGCTGTGCCCATGTCAAAGAGACAGAGGGAGGATGCCCAGCCAGGGCCAGTGGAGGGGGGTGAGGGCAGAAAGACAGGAGCAGAGATTTAGCCTAAACCGGAGCTGTCAGAGCTACATCCTGGTGAGTGAGATAATACATGCATTTCCCCTGCCTGGCCCAGACTGAATTAGCACATCTGGGGCCCACATTTACTGCTGCTTTGGAGCACCTCTGCCATTAACACTAAAAACACATCCTGGAGGACATCAGGGCTTGAGATGAAGGAGGTGAGAGGGGAAATAAGACACCTTGCCTCCCCCTTCACCTTGTTCCTCCCTCCTCCCACATGGCTCCGAAACACTTTGCAACTTGAATGCTGTCAATCTCCGTATGGAAGAAATGTATTTATAGAAACCCTACTGCTGTGGCTCAATACTTTTATGGGACCAGATGTCAAAGGGCATGAAGTTGATAAAATAAAGCACAGATCAATAAAAAGGGTAAAAATTATCTGCTGCCAGCAGTGAGAATTACTGCTTCTTCAACTTCTATGGAGCAGTGCCAGTTTACCTCAGTGAGAAGTGGGGTTGGCAAACAGGTACAGACATGAATAATTAGGCTGTGTAAGCTGTTCAACCAAGAAGACATCTGTCCTTCATAGGAGAGATTTTTCCAGAAAGGGTTACTGCCTTCTCCTTTGAAATACCACATGGCAGCTGCAGATGACATCATATTTTCTGCCATACTGTTTTATATCAACACATACGAAGCATCCAGGGAAGACTAAGAACTGCTTGAGACTGTAATTGGAGCAATGGTCAACATTATCACAGTAAATGACATCATCTAGAGATTTCTTGATCTTATGGTTGTGTTTAAAAATAGGGATATCTTCAAAATATCAGGGTATACGCAGACAGAGAGAAAGCACTAAGGGCTCAGACACCTTTCTGGTAATCAGCCCACAAGAAACACATAGATCTTAGGTACACATGTGAAACCACTTGCTTTCAACTAAAGCCAGCAGCTCAGGAAGATGCCAGGGTATGTAACCAAAGGATCCATAGAACTATATTTTGGCACTATGCAGCAGAGCCGAGGAGAAGTAGGTTAATTAAAATTTGTGTGTCATTTCCATTTCCTCTGCATGTCTACAAGACTGTTTATTCTCACCATCTGAAAGAGATTCTCACCATCTGAAAGAGATATTAATTGCTGCTCTTGGTTTGTGAGAATAAGCACTACAAGAGATCAAGTTCCCTAGTGAAGCCTTCTCAGTTTTGCTTTTGAACCCCAATGCAACAACTTGAAAGGGCTGCTTTTATCTTTACAGCAGTTGGCTTAGGATGCAAGCATCCAGTTAAGTCCATCACCAGTTGTCCACCAAAATTTTGTTGACAAAGACCATATCTGCATTTGCTGCCGTTTTCTATCAGTGACAATGTAGTAAGAAGATTTTGTCCATCTATTTATTTATTTATATTTGTCCATCTATAGGCTATTTGCTTCAAATAATCCCCTTTCTTCAGTGCTTGTACCAGCAGTGTGGGAGTTGAAGTGATCAGAAGCAGGCAGGATCCCAAAACAGTCTCACATACAACCTGGAGAGACACAGTAAGGAGAGAATGCACATCTTATCAATATTTCAATATTGATACAGCATCAATGCTGATGTGAGGCCTAATAGACTGTGCTACTGCACAGCTCACAGTGCACCTTGGGGGATCACTTACCCCCTGCCAGGCTAACACCTTGTAGTAGCAAAGAGCACACAGTTTGGTGACGATTTCTACCCACATGACAGAGATCACTGGGTGGTGCAGTCGGTGCCAGCCCAAAGCTAGCACAGTACCCATGAGTGGTTTGATGTCAGTGTCTGTAGATGTCTTTTTTAAGTCCTGGGTGCTTAGACTTGTAGAGCCTGACAGTATCTATGATGTGGATGTTTCCCCTTTGCCAACATCTCTTCTTCCCAGGCCTTCAAAGCAACTACAGCAAAAAACAATAATGTGTTTCAGCTGGATGGGCAATGTCAGTCCCTCTGACACTGGGAGAGCTCTGGGAACATGAGGCAAACAAAACTGGATAAAATACAAAACAAGGTGCAACCTGCCTATGTCAGACCTCAATCCACCTTACAATGATGCTGAAGTTCATTGGAGTCTGGATGGAAATAGTAGGGCTGGGGTGTGGGATAATATACCCACAGATATCACTGATCTTGGCAGAGGGCTGATCTGCAGCCCTGTGTTATGCTACTGAAACAAATACCATAGGAAAAATTAGTGTCCATGGCAAAGTGAGATGCTGTAGGGAAATACAATTCTTGTAGGTTTTAACCAGCACAAGGAAGTACTATGTGTGTCCTAATGAACCATCCAGTTGACAGCACCAGAGAGATTACATACAACAGGCCAAAAAAGTTAGGTTACACTATTCATAGACCATTGTATTTCACAGAGATTAAACAAGGAACACCCATATTACAGATCATGTAGCAGCAGGTGATGAAGGAGACTAGATCTCAGCAACAGAAAGAAGGTTAGACAAAAGAAACTGGACTATGCTGCTCATGCAGGAGAGTAAGGAAGCGCCAGCAAGTGTGCATCTCAGGTCTTTCAGCTCCTGGAAGAGTTTTGGCAGGGCTGTAGATCAGGCTTACGTTATTTTCAAAAATGAAACATCACTACAAACAGTTGGAAGAAGTGCATGAAAAATAAACAAAATATATTTTTAAAATTCCACTGACACTTGCTTATGAATGTAAAAATTCAAAAGTTGGTAGTGCAGTACCTGTTAGCCATTTGAGTTACACGTGGTGTGGATGAAATGGATTTCAACTAAGCATAAAGAAGAGGAATTACTGTGGTATACTTTCAGCCAAAATTACTAGAAAAGTAACAGAGACTATAAATAATGAATTTCTAAGGAGAGACAGTGTGAGATTACTTCTCAGTTAATGGTATTTCTTTTGTCTTTCAACCTGAGCATTCACCTGAACACTTTAGTTCTCAAGAGATCTAGAGAGATGCAAAAAACCTACCTCTCTTGCAGCATCTGTTTACAAAAGCTGTACCTGATGCAGAGGCATCACAACAAAACAAATTTGGCTTCAGTGCTAATTTGCTCAAAATAAGTGTCACTTGAGACAAAAGCTAGCTAGACCTGGAGTAATAGATGGCAATCTCCATAAATGTATCCAAACTAAATACTTCAGCAACACTGAAAGGCTGTGAAAACTGATGAGAAAACACAGAAGTTAGAGTATCATCTCTGGGGCATTTCTGGGTGAGTCAAGGTGTATTCAGGAGCTTTCCCACATTCTTTGGGGTACCTAGACTACATTTATTTTATGCACAGCCCAAATGTCAAATTGCTGCTTTACAAGTTACCCCTATTTTCTTGCATATATTGCCTTTCTACTTATGCAAAAATAAGCATGTTAGGCTGACTGATGGGGTGGGGAAACAGTACTTTGTACCCACACCTCTGACCCACAAGAAATGAACAAAATTTTTGCCACTGACTTAGAGACAGTGGGAAGACACTGAGAAATAAAGACATTCATTATATTTGGGCACATGTACCTTTGTTACACCAGCAGCATAAATTGTTTGCAAGTCTCCTGGGTCTATTTCTAATACAAACACATATGCCAGCACCATCGAGTGCAACAATGACAATTAAAAAACCCTTATAAATCCTTAGGCTTTTGAGTAAAAGACAGCACATCAGTGATTTACTAATTAATGCATGGACCCCCTTGTGAAATGCTAGGGTGTCTCAAGAAACTCATCATGTATACTTCAATTTTCCCCAAAAAGTTTTGGCTATATGATACGTTAAGAATGCATAACACATTTATCCCTACACCTTGCAACAGTGCAACTGCCATTATTGACATCACAGTAATCGGATTCTAAATCCTATCCATCACTTTTGAAATGTCACTCTAATACCAGCACAACAGCTCCAATGCACAGCCTTCCCTGGAGATACTCTAGCCCTTATACAAACAGGTGTTTCGAAAACCCACTTCTGAAAATTCCACTTCACCTCAAGGCAAACTGGTGTTTATTTATTATTATCTTTAGGGTATTACACATAGTCATACTTTTTCTTTTTTTTTTTTTAACCATGACACCTTTGTCCAATAGAAATGATCATGCTCAGAGTTATCCCAGTCCACAGAAAGGGTGGTGGCCACCTTGAAGCCAAAAGAGACAGGGCTTTTCCAGAGTCCCTTCTCCTAAAATTCCTGATTGATGAGCACAGTTACTTACATGACTGCAAGGCATGCTGCAAATAAACATATTTTCCCTCTTGACCAGCAAAACACCTGGGCTCGCCCCTCAGGTATCTGTAGACACCCATCAGAGCAGTATTGTATGCATGGCAAAACTCCAACAAAGAGCACCAGGAGCAAGGTTAAATATCAGTCAGGGAGGTGCAACACCAAATAAAAGGTGAGATCCATTGGGAGGAGAAAGATTACAGCAGTGCAGGATCCTGGGGTGCTCCTGTTACACACACATCCTGAGAGCTCGTCTGTGCTTTTGGTTTTAATTAGCATTTGTTAACATATGGAGATATTTACCCAGAAGGAAGGTCGGTGGAGCGGTTAGCAGAAACAGCCTCTCTCCCTTTCCCCCATCCCCTTCCCACTGGGGCACGGGGGCCAGCGCTCCAGCTGGTATAAATCTGTGGTACTCTGCTGATTTACACCAGCTGAGCATCTGGCATCAAGACATTTCCGATTGTTTATAAAAAGAAGAGCAATGTGATGTGCTACTTATAAATCTCTCTCCTGAGCCAAGGTTGTGGTCCTCACCTGTGTCCTGCTTGGCCATGTTGCCCCAGCCCATCACACCAACACAGCCAGGCCCACTCCTGGCCACAGTCACCTGGACAAAACAGGTACAGGATCCTATCACATATCAAATCTGTACAAAATTGAGGTGAGACAGAAGAGGTAAAAAATCCCTGCTCCTTCCCCCAGCCACTCAGGGAGGATTAGTTAGCCAGTGTTTATAAATTGCCCTGAAGGGGTCAAGTGCAGGAGTGATTGGTGTCAGCTTCTCAGCACTATGTTAACCAAGGGTTACTTTTAATTTCTCTTAATAACTGAACAAATGGGAGCAGGTGTCCAATCTTCAGCTTGCAAGGACAAGGCTTGGCCCTGTGCTGCCATCCCCTATGATGCAGGAGGCATCACCTAGACAGGTCCTGGCAAGAGGCAGCACAGGCCCTGCAAAGAGCACCCACCTCCAGCTCAGCCGCACTGTACCCCACCTCAGTGCTTGCTCAGCTTTCTGGCCCCTTACTTAATGCAGGGAGATGTTTTTCCCCCTGAGCCTGGTGTGTGCAGGGGAAGAAGCATTTGGGCTTGTTCTCCCCAGTTCTCACCACCTCCCATGGATCAAGCCACAGCCATTTCAGTTCCATTCATACCTGCAGTTCTTGTCAGCAGTTTCCCCAGGTACAAGTGGCAGGAAGGTGGGCGATCCCCTTTGCCTTTGCACCAATGTTGTTCCCAATCTTTGCCTTGTTTTATTGAAGAAAATGTTATTCCCTTTATAGCAGCTAAGAAATGTTCTTCAAAATTGTCCAGCACTCACATCTTCAGGCTAATTTGGCTTCTAAATTGACTTGAATTCCTTTTCTTGTCTGTCCTTTATAAGGAAACTCTGAAATTTATACTATACATATTTAATTTATATTTAAAACTGCATTAGTTTCAAATATAGTTTCAGTGAGAAGGAAATTAAAATTAAATTTGATATCACAGAAATATTTTTTCACTGTGGAAATATTTTGCTGATCCACCTGCACTCTTGCGACAAAAATCACTTAAGCCGGGATAACATAAGATCACCCATGTGGCAGCAACCTCTGCCTCTGGAGACAAAAGAAAAGGAATTGTCTTAGGTGATAGCAATGAAAGAACAACAATTTACTTGGCCACAGCAGAAATGGTCAGTCTGCTCTGTGCCACAGCTGACCATGGGGGCAGGAGACAGCTCCTGTCACAGTGGGTGGCAGATCTTGCCATGGATAAATCTGGGAAAGAATGAGAACCTAACATGCAGCCACCCCATCTTCTCCAAGGCCACCAGAGCAACTTTGTGCAGCTCTCCTGTGGACAGAAAGCCAAGATATCACCTTCCCCCTGGATCCCATGATACTGGGGCAGCTACACTGCCAAGGGTGGCATCATTTGGTGATGCTCACCACATCACTTTATCAGTCTTGCTTCCTCAGAGAGGCAGCAAGGTATTTGGCTTTAAAGCACATGAGGGTGCAGCCACAGCCCTCTGTCTCCTGATGTCCTTGGGAGTTTTGCTGCTGGCTTTAACAACCAGGCAGTGGGGGGGAGGAGGGGGGGGCGGGTGTCACGGTGTGGGGCTTGAACAGCCCCTCTGCAATCACAGCCCTAGACTGCAATTAGTGCTGATTTATTCTGGGTGACTACAGTTCAACACAGACCAGTACTGGTCTGGCTGCCACAATTCATCCTTGAGATTTGCCAGTAAAGGCAGCAATTCTTTTGATCTTCCTAACAGAGAAAATTGGAGAGCATACAATGAGCCTCTCTTTCTTCCCCATTGCTATTTGGATATGACTGCAAGTAGTCTGGGGGGAAGTTCTGCTTAGAGCAGACTGTTCCTCCAGTCCTCTGGCCACAAAAAGTCAGAGGATTTAAATGCTCCAAACTCCACCCCTGAACATGTCAGACATGTAGGGGAAAAGATCTTGAAATAAGAGCAAGGGTATTGCCTGGAGCAGAAAGGATGGAGTGATAGAGGAACTTGCAGTATCATCTGAGTGTAAAGCAACTTATTTTACATAGATAGCACAGCTCGGTCTAGAAGGAATCAAGAAATTACTGTCTAGGATGAGCAAAGACCAATCTGTCCTTCCAGCTCCTTTCACTTGGAGCTGCTTGCTAGTGGCTCCTCTGGTGCAGATCAGAGAGGACCATGGCTGGGCTGTACTGCACCAGCTCTGGACAAACACAGTAGCAAGTGCTCAGGAGAATACAAAGAACATTGTCTGCAGGAAAGAAGGGCTATCCAGGACATGAATCCTGTACAAAGGATCCAGTGAGATGGTGGTCATTTATTCAGGCTCTCCATTGACCTTGTCCTTTGAGGTGTTTTCTGTGTGTCCCTAGGCACCCATTCAATCTGTAGACAAGAAGTGACCACATGACAATAGTCGCTGTAATGACAACTCTTCTAGACTGAGAGTGAGGGATCACAAGGCCCTTCTGAAGAGGAACAGGTGCAAAGAGAAGCCATCCCAAGCAGGGGCTTAGGCAGCAAGGCTGGAATAGAAGCCACAGGAGTGAGGTGTGAGCTCCTGCAGCTAACACACAGCAAATCAGTCCCATCCTCCCGCCCCCAATATGGTCGTGATTACTGAAAAGCAGGGGAATACCAGCCATGACATCTGTACAAACACGCCACAGGAAACCAAATTGCAAAGACATCAGCAATTAAGACCAGACTCTTGGTTTGTTTGTTCAGATATCAATATCCACTAAAGACAGCCCTGATCATGGCTGTAATTGGCACAGCAGCAAAGGCTCCCAGGGCAGTGGGGAAGGTGAATAGGCCAGGGTGGGCAAAGAGCAAACCTGATCCCTCTGGGATTCTCCACTGTTTCAAGAACAACTTGTGAACTGTTGTGGAGCAGGGCATAACTAAATTAGTCTGGGGAAGAGAAGTGTCACACAAACATGTCCTGGTCAGTGTCATTTACTGGCATTTTCACTTGACATTCAAGCCAGGAAGCAGCCAGAGAAAGCATTCAGCTACAAGCTCTTCTCTTTCCTCCTGAAAACATCAAATAACCAAAAAATCACTTGCAACCAGAACTGTGATAGCTGTTCCTTGTGAGTTATGTGAAGTATAAGGAACACTTCTCCCACCAACAATGATAAAAGATTGTTTTGTTTGTTTGTCCATTTGCCTCAATGTTTAAACTTTCATCCTATAGGGGATTTCTTCTTTGGAGGTTAAAATAATGAAAGAGACAAGAATTTTTTGAACAGTTCACCTAACGTGGATCAAATGCTCTGTTCTTGAATCTTGGATGCCAGTTAAACGTCAAACCTACAGTAAGATGCTCAGTTATAATGCAAGCATTAGCATTTAGCACACATTTAATCAAAAAAAACAAGTCCATGCAAACTACAAATATCATAACTTCAAAAAATCCAGGAGAGTCTCTTTTAAAAACCTCCAGGAGACTTCCTTTAATGCTCTGAGTGCCTTGAAGTCATTCACAATTTAACAAGCACATAGTATGAATAAAGTAGCTTAAGAGGTGCATGTGGTCTCACCCTCATGGGGGCAGGAGGGGAAGACTGCCCTGACTTTCTGCATTAGAAGAGTATGCAAAAAAAAACCAACAACCCAACAACAAGGCTGCAGCACACTTTCCTTCAGGGGTCTTCCACTTTACCAGATATCCTAAAAATAAGGGGGAAATTCTGTTTTTTCTTTTTTCATCCACACAGAAGAAAATCCACCTCTTCTACATACTGTGTGTCTCTATAATGCATCAAGCATTAGCACATACTGTCATGAAACACATTATAAGATTAATAATAACAGTATGTATTTGTTGTTAGAGTGAATTCTTGTGTATCAAGATCTCAAGTAAGTTAATCACTTCAGCAAATATTTAAGAACATCCTGGAAACAATGAGACTTGGGTGCTTTGCCTCACTGGGCCCTCAAGATGTAAATATGAGATTTTATTTTATTAGCTCCCAAAATCAAGAAAATAGTGAGCAAATGCAGAATTCACCAGATTTCATCAGACTCTACTACACTAGCAACATGGACACTCATTGAAACCAGCCACAGTTTAAAACAGAGAAGAAAAACTAGGGGTTTTACACAGCAGGCAATGAATTTCTGGAATATGTCCCTGCCTTGTCTTCTTTCCTGCCTCTCACGGGATAGAAGCAATGCTGCTTATCTGTTAATCTTTCCTAACCTCAGCTAGCATTTTTCCCCAAAGTAAGGCAACTTGCACAGCCAAGGAAGGAAATCTGCAAATCTACCTTCTGCAGAGAGAAATGTGGAAAGCTGAGTCACTTCAAGGACCAAATAAAATAGTGAAAAATAGATACAATAATATTTCTCTCCTGTTTTGGATGCAGGAGAAGGAACCTAAAAATAACAACAACAACAACCCCTAAAACCAGTTTGCTCGAGTTATGATAATTCAGGCATAACATTTACATGAGAACATAAAATACAGCACACAGCTGTAAGTAAAACAATATGTGTGTTCCTGAATAATGGGAAAATAGCTTGCCAATAAGGATATATTCTGAGCAAATGAAAGATGACCTAGAATTGACTCTAGAGTAACAACTTGATTACTTATAAAAATAGGAGGTAGGGGAAGAGAAAAAAGTAGAGGAAGCAGTGGTTGGGAAGAGCTTATGTTATGTGGTATTTGATGTATTTACTTTGAAAAGTTTCCTTTTGATGAATAATAAAAACAATGCTGTAACAGCCATCTT